TCTATCTATCTATCTATCTATCTATCTATCTATTTGTCTATGTCTCTATCTATCTATCTATCTATCTATCTATCTATCTATCATCTATCTATCTATGTCTCTATGTCTCTATATCTATCTATCTATCTATCTATCTATCTATCTATCTATCTATCTATCTATCTCTATATCTCTATCTATCGATCTATCAATCTATGTCTCTATCTCTATCTCTATCTATCTATCTATCTATCTATCTATCTATCTATCTATCTATCGCTATCTCTATCTCTATCTTTATATCTCTATCTATCTATTTATCGATCGATCGATCAATCGATCTATCTATGTCTGTCTATCTATCTATCTATCTATCTATCTATCTATCTATCTCTATCTTTATATCTCTATCGATCGATCTATCTATCTATCTATCTATCTATCTATCTATCTATCTATCTATCTATCTATCTATGTCTCTATATCTATCTATCTATCTATCTATCTATCTATCTATCTATCTATCTATCTATCTATTTATTTCATATTTCCCAACTGCCAATTTGGGCAGTGTACAAGTTTATACTCCCTGATTGAAGAGGAGGAGGAGGAGGAGAAAGAGGAAGAGAAAAATGAGAAGGAGGAGGAGGAGGGGAGGAAGAGAAAAGTGGAGGAGGAGGAAGAGACAGACAAAGGAGGAGGAAGAGGAGAAGGAAGAGCAAGAGAAAGAGGAGGAGGAGGGAGAGGGGGAGGAAGTAGAGGAAGAGGAAGGAGGAAGAGGAAGAGAGATGGAAGAGGACAAAGAGAAAGAGGAGGAGGAGGAGGAGGAGGAGGAGGAGGAAAAATTTGCACAGCCTCTGCAATTTTTCAGTGGGTTTCCATCCCAGCAAAGCGATGGCTTTGTGATCCAACCAAAAACAACCACCCCACACAAGAACAACAACAACATCAAGAACAATCCCTGAAATTGGAAGAATAGTTGGCAACCCTCTCGGTCAACACCGCCAAGGCCTCCTCCGGATGCATTCAATTTATCTCCCACGTTGACAAAAAAAAAAAAACACCCCAATACAAGTGGAGTTTTGATGAGCTGCTGTGTTCCACAAATCGTAACAACCACACCCCAAACCACAAAGTCTATCTTGATTCTTGGAATGCAGAAGCTGTTCTCCTCCAGTTGGAGAAGGACCCTGGGCAAAGTTTTAGCAACAGGATTGGCCCAAAGGAAAGATCCTATCTTCACGGGAGGAATTGCCGAGGCCCGAAAGAGTAGCGTCAAAATGCACAAAACACGTTGGCCTCGTGGTGAGCTATCGAATGCATCCCAGTTGTGGACAGTGTCCGCAGCTGTCCGATCTTTGCAGAGAACCCTTCCGCCCCTGCGTGCCTGCCAGATGTTTTGGCCAGGATCTCTGGGAAGATCAGAGAGGGAGCACAATGCATCTGGAAGGCCTCCAGGAGAGGAAGAAAGGGTGGCCTGCTAGATTGTCTGAATGGCTGGCCCTCCAAAACCTCCAATGACTTTTTTATTTCAAGCTGCTCCGTGAATTCTATTTTACGGTGGGGGTGTCCAATTTTGACAACTTAAAGGCTCGTGATGCCCACAGGCCTTTAAAAGTGGCATAAGTTGGACACCCCAACCAATTGGATTTGATTCTGATCTCAACGAACCAACCAATCAACCAATCAATCAGAAGAGAGCTGGAAGGGTCCTTAGAGTTCTTCTAGTCTAGTGATGGTGAACCTTTTGGTGCCAAAGCGCGTGTGCACATACCCAAAATGCAAGGTGTCACCCTTGTGCATTTGTGCACCGCCCCGCGCATGTGCCCATACCCCCTGTGCATGCCCCCTGCCCAGGATTGGGATTCTACAGGTTCGCACCTATTCGCTAGAACCGGTTGTTAACATTCTAAGCAGTTCGGAGAACCAGTTGTTAGAAGAAATTACTGGGCTAATCCTGTAAGGAAGGTAGGAAGGAAACATTCTGGTGTTGCTTATAGAAACTGCCTCTCCATTAACCCATATTACATTCTTGGCAGGACTGGACTTCCTGTCTCTGGAACTTCTCTGGAGTTTTCTTTCCCTCTTTTGCTGGTACTTTGCTTGTGTGGAGTGACCATTTAAAGTTACAAGGGCACTGAAAAAAGTGACTTAGGACCATTTTTCACACTTACGACTGTTGCAGCATCCCCACAGTCATGAGAGGCCAGGCGAGGAGATGCGTGCCTCGATGTGAGTGATATTGAGTTGGCCACATCCAGCCAGTCACATGACCACCAAGCCACATCCACCCAGTCACATGACCACCAAGCCACACCCACCCAGTCACATGACCACCATGCCATGCCCACCACCTAAGCCACGCCCACAGAACCGATTGTTAAAAAAAATTGAATCCCACCCCTGACCCCACTCCCGTGCATACGCGGCAGAGACCCGAAGGCCAGCTGGCCAGTGAGAGGTGCGCGCGCATGTGTGATGGAGCTGAGCTAGACTGACAGCACACGTGCCCACAGAGAGGGCTCAGTTCGAGTCCAGCTCCTTCTCAAGCAGGAGACACTGTACCATTTCAGAGAACTGGCTGTCCAGCCTCTTCTTAAAAACCTCCGGCGATGAAGCACCCACCACTTCTGGTGGCAGGCTGTTCCACTGGTTAATTGTCCTCACTGTTAGGAAGTTTCTTCTAAATCCCAGGTTGGAATTCAGCTAACCGATTAAGCTTTCGTTAAAATAATTTGATTTAGTTAAGTTGGATCAAGCTGGTCTACCAGCTGAGCACAGCTAGAGTTTGTTCAACCCTCTGGGGTTATTTACCCATCAAAATCCTGTCTTCAGAAAGCGTTCTTCTTTAACAGGGTTTGTTAACCAGGCATTGATCTCAGCCGTGTCTCTCTCTTCCCGTAGGAAGTCCTGCTGAAGAGAGCAGCCGATCTGGTGGAGGCTTTGTATGGGATGCCCCACAATAACCAAGTAAGTCTCACCTCCTGCGCTCCCCTTCCCCTCCCCCCGCCCCGGCATTGGGGAAGAGCAGAGAGAGGCCACCAACGTCCTGCTTTGGTTTAACATCTGGTGAACATCTGGGCGAGATTGTCCATGGTCATTGATGGCCCTGGCCACTGGTGCACTGATGATCTTTGGTGGTCCGTCCCTGCTTTCCGACCCATCAAGGGTTACTGTCTCGATTCCATCTTAGGTCTGGATGGAAAAAAAAAACTAAGCTCTGATTCAAACTTAGCAAGGTCACATATCTGGGTTTGCCACTCCCACCCCTTATAAAATGATAGATGTCCAGGTTTTATTTACTTCTTTATTTTTATTTTTATTCATTTTATTTATTTTTGTTTTGTTTGATTTCATTTTAATTTATTTTATTTTAATTTAATTTATTATTATTTTTATTTCTATTGATTTATTTGCCATATGGCACGCAACTCATACAGAGACAGCCAGTTTGGTTTAGCGCTGAAGGCGCCAGCGCAAAAACCAGGAGACGGTGAGTTCTAGTCCTGCCTTAAACTCAAGCCAGCTGGGGTGACTTGGGGCCAATCACCAGGAGATGGTGAGTTCTAGTCCCATTTTAGGGCATAAAGGCAGCTGGGTGACTTTGGGCCAATCACCCAGAGAGACAGTGAGTTCTAGTTCTGCTTTAGGCACGAAAGGTACTCAAATGAGCCGTGGAAGCTTTCCAACCCAAAAGGAAAGAAATTCGGTTGCCGTGACTCAACTTCTAGACCATTCTTCCTGGTTATCTAAGAATCTACATCGAGGTCTCTGGGTTTTTTCAGCTATAGCTGGTTGGTAAAGGTAAGGATGGAAGTAGGGCTGCCACAGAGACCTTTCAGGAATTATTTTTTCTGGATCTTTTTAAGGCCACCTGAAGGTTGTTTTTGCAACCGAGCTCCCGATGAAACAGGCAAAGCTCCCAAGATGCCTCCTTGGGACGCGGAAGTCCCGTCTTTCCCTACCTGAAACCCTCCACCGTGCTGGGCTTCAAATTCCCACGATGTCTCAGGTGGCACACCGGAGGCACCTCAGGTTGGAGAAGGAACCTTTGCAGCTCATATCCCAGCCTCCAGCTGGTTGCAGACGCATGAAACTGTCCCAGCTTGCAAATCCAGCTGTGGACTTGTAGATATGAAGACCCCCCCATTTTTTTTTCGGATGCAAGATTCCAAGGTTCCCAAAAATCTAATACCTTGTTTAGCTGTGCAGACCATCCTTTCCATTTCTTGGATCTTGCTTACTAATGCAGAGAGAGAGAGAGAGAGAGGGAGTGAGGGAGAGAGAGAGTGAGTTCGCCCCCCCAAAAACATCCCCGTACAAACATCTGGCTCCCAAGCCAACATCTGTTTGTCATCAGGGATTCCAGAGCGATTGTGTAACCGGCTTCGAACATCTCCCTGCTTCCTCACCCCTGTCCAAGGTCCAGCCAGTGTTTTCACAGCTCTGTCATGGCTCACAACACCTGGGCGGATATAGCTGAGGTCCTGAGGAGGCGTCAGGTCGGGCCAAACAGGTGGGAGGTGTTGGCTTTACAGGGCCAAAGTCCCCCGGACTTCCTTTTCCGGGGTATAAATCTTTCACCCCCCGTTTAGGGGTGACCAGCAACAGAACAGCGGGGCCAAATTCTCAGCTGCCCACCAAGGACGAGAGGGAAAACCAGCGTTGGGGCCCGGCTACATGTCACACCCATTGCTTGAGACGACGGAAGGGCCGGGCTGGGACACATCCTAAGCAGGCTTGGGTTCAAAGTAGGTAAGGTTGGCAGCACCAACTCACCCTTCGGTGCTTCCGAAGAGGAGATTGCTGTGTTTTCCCTTTCAGCCATTTTAGAACAGAGAATGCTAGGGCTGGAAGGGATCTCAGAGGTCTTCTAGTCCAACCCCCTGCTCAAAGCAGGAAACCCTATACATTCCAGACAAGTGGCCGCCCAATCTCTTCTTAAAAACCTCCAGTGATGGAGCACCCACAACTTCTGGTGGCAAGCAGTTCCACTGGTTCATTATTTTTACGG